GTAATTGTTGTCAAGTCGATTCTAACTCATAGCAACCCTGTATAGGGTTTCCAAGAAGCAGTTGGTGGCTTGAACCACCAACCTTATAGTTCACAGTCCAGTGCATATCCTACAGCACATCATTATAGGGAAGGAAAGTGAAGCTCAGAGAGGTTAAGTGTCTTGACCACAGTCCAAGAGCTATACTGGCAGTAGGTAAAGCCAGCATTCATCCCTCAAGGAGCGGAAGTAAGACAGTCACAAGGCACAGGGCCTTCTCTCTCTGCCCCAGCCACCCCAATTTCTGGGTCACCCTTTCTCCTTGTCTCTGTCTCAATTCACCAAACCCACCAGCTGCTCTGTGGGTCAAAGCCTACTGCCATGAAGATTTACAGCCTCAGAAACCCTCCAGGGCAGTTCTACTCTGTCCCGTAAAGTCGCAAGAGTTGGAATCGACGCAATGGGCGTGGATTTTGTCCCCCACACCTACAACAGTTGTTGTTGTTGTTGTCAGGTGCCATCGAGTCGGAACCGACTCATAGAGACCCCATGCACAGCAGAATGAAACAATGTCCAATCCTGGGCCAACCTCACTACTGCCGCCACACTTGACACCATCAATGATGCCACCTGGCCAATCCATCTCGTTAGGGGTCTTCCTCTTTTTCTCTGACCCTCCACCTTACCCAGCATGACATCCTTCTCCAGCAACCGTTCTCTCCGGACAATGTGTCCAAAGTATGAGAGACGAAGCTTAGCCATCTTGGCCTCCAAGGAGCACTCTGGTTGCACTTCTTCCAAAACAGATCTATTGGTAAGCTTCCATAAATACATGTGAATGAATGAATGATGGAGAAGATTTCACTATCTTCTCTCTCTCCCTGTTTCTTCCGGACGCTCTATCTATCTGTATGTCTCTTTTTGCCTATTCACCCCAAAATTCATGCTGAGTCACCTCCAAATCCACCAGACTACCTCAGTTAAAGGAGTCCTGGTGTGGTGCTATAGGACAAGCGCTGGACCTAAAGGTCCATTTGAATTGCAAGGCTAGTGGTTCAAACTCCTCAGAAACCCTATACAGGGTCGCTATGGGTTGGAACCAACTTGACGGCCTTTAACAATAACAAAAACCTCAGCTATACAGCGTCTTTTCCAGGCCTGACCCAACAACCGACAGTGCCACAGCCGGAAGTCCCCTCAGGAAAGCGCTGGCCCAGCCAAGGACACACACACAAAGGCCTGTCTGAGACCAGGCCTTTGCCCTGCAAATCTCTGGCCACCCAGGCTCCCCTTTATGACAGTGAGATGAGCCAGGGAAGCTCTTGGTGCAGCCCACCCAACACGTTGGGCCTCCCAACCTCCTGGACCTCGAGCCTCCTGAGGCTGCCACTACCAGATCATCTGTGGCCTTGGGAGAGATGCCACCTGCTGCCTATAAAGTTCTCTGGACACATTTGAAGTACTTTCCCAAGTTAAAAATTAAAACGTCCCCCAAACTGAAGGGAACTTAGCATTTCAAGGCAGGCCCCATCCCATCAAACTCTTGGAATTAGCTAGTAAAAAATTCATGCTGATTTCATCCCCGAGAGAGAACAGAACTGGAAGGGAACCAAGGGGACTTAGTCTTCTGGGTTTGACCACGTTTAGCCTGTATGACCCAGGACAGTCCACTATCACAAAGATGAGGTTAGAGGAGTCCCCTCCACAGTCCTTTCCGTTCTTCTCCATTCAGTGTCCTGAGAGGGAGGAGACAAGACCACACAACCACACTGCCTAGAGTGCTTTAGGACAAAATGGAGTCCGAAGGGTCACATGACTCCCACACACCCCCAGGACTCAGAGGCAACTCCTTCTGCCTCCTGTAGATTGTGCTATGGAGTTGCTTTCCTGATATGTTGTTATTGTTTAGTGCCATCGAGTAGATTCCAACTCACAGCAACCCAGTATAGGGTTTCCAAGGAGCGGCTGATGAGTTTGAACCTCCAACCTTGTGGTTCAAACTGACCTTGCTGTTCAGTGCTTGTCCTATGGCGCCACGTCTGGAATTTTCTGTTGTTGTTCCAGATCTTTAGTTAGGTCCTCTCATGACTGCCAGTTCCTGTGGGTAAGCGCAGTGTCCAGCAGCAGAACCCAAAGTGTTGGCGTCACTCTTCCCAGCTGAGAATGAAGAGAATCCCAGAGGGTAGTAGGGTTCACATGGGACTCTGGGACAACTCCCTGCCTGCCATTTTCCTCTGGTATTGGGATGTGCAGGGTGGAACCACCTCTAAAATCAGTCATCAACATCTTCCCCTCCCAGTTCTGTGTCTGCCTTTCAGCCAGGTGGCCTCAGGCTGCCATCTTCATACTCTGAACTCCACTGCCATTGAGTCATTCCAGCTCAGAGCTTCCCATCACAGGTTTCCAGGTAAGTCTTTACTGGAGCCTAAAGCCTCATCTTTCTTCCGCTGAGCAGCTAATGGGTTTGAACTGTCAATCTTTCAGTTAGCAGTCCAGTGTTTACCTATAGCACCACCAGGGCTCCTTTCATTTTTACATTCAAGCAAGCCCAATTATACCCTGTACTCCGTCCAACTGTAATGGCAGGCAGAGATTTATCTCCCTCCATTCATTCAAGTCTAAGAAACCGCACCTTGTCATTCCTTCTAAAGTGTGTCAGTCTCCTTTTGGAATGGAAATACCATTCTCTGGCACCACCTCCAAGCTTGGATGGTGTCTGGGCTTCCTTATGTAGTCCAGAGCGATTGGGATTGGTCCTCTCCTCTTTAATTCCCACTAGTGACTACGGATGGAGTCCTGGTATAGTGTTGGCTGGTTAATGTGCTAGGCTTCAAGATCAGTGGTTCAAGCTCACCAGCTGCTCCCCCGGAAACCCTATACAGGATCGCTATGAGTTGGAACTGACTCAACAGCACTTAACAACAGCAACAAAGTGACTATTGATATCTTTTGCTCTCAGCCCAGGCCTACACCCACCCACTGCCATTAAATTGATTTTAACGCACGTAGAGTTTCTGAGATTGTAAATCTTTTACAGGAGCAAACAGCCCTCTTTCTCCCACACCCAGGTCTATGCTGCCTCTTAAATGTGGAACACTTCCCAGATTCCTCTAGGGCCCATAGACCCCTATCCTTCCCAGCCTCCAAAGTTCTCTCCTCCCTGAGCTGTCCCCTTATACTTTGTAAATTCCAGTCATTCACTTCCAGAATGCCTATCCTCAACCAGGGGACCACTCAGCTCCAATCTTCTTAAAGCCAAAACTCAGGTAAAAAGACACCCCAGAGCTTCAGGAACACAAAGGACACCTCTTTCTCCTGGAGTGGAGATGGGAACAAGAGAAACTGGCATCGCTTCATCCATTTTCCTGGTAGCTCACCCTCTACACTACCATTTATAGTGTGCCAACTACTGCCAAGCGCAATGTTAAACTCATTGCCTGATGAGCTCATTTAACTCCTCACCTGCCTTAGGCCATAAGAGATTTTGTTCCTACTCTGTAAAAGAGGAAAGAGGGATTCAAACTCTTCAAGGATAGTCGGTGGCAAGCCAAGCATTCCAACCTAGGTTGTCTGATTACAAAGGTTAGGCTTGTCGCCCCTTTGCCCAAATAGCCTTTTCAACTCTAGCCTCACTCCCTGGCTCCCCCCTCAAAGGTTCCTTCCAAAGAAAGAGCTGTTAAAATTGATACAGTGACTAATCAAGTGTTTCCTAGCCAGGGGCAGTGAGCCCTACCCACCTCTGAAATCTTCTCTATTCACTCAAGTGAGGCTGCTCCCCTTTCTCCTCCCTTTGTAGCCCCCAAAGGAGAGGAAAAGACACTCCCCACCAAGGGGAGGCTCCTACAGCCCTGGTCCTCATGAACATTGTTACTGTGTTTAAGTGTCTTCAAGTCAGTTGTGACTCATAGCAACCCTGAATAGAGTTTCTGAAGAGCTACTGGTGAGTTTGAACCACCCTCCTTGTGGTTCAAACCAACCTTGAGGTTGAGTGCTTATCTCACAGTGCCACACCAGGACTCATGAACATTGAGTCAATGAATTCTCCCAGCAACACAAAGAAGTACGAGTCACTATCCTTACTGTACAGGTAAGGGCCCTCAGACTCAAACTCGCCAAACAGAGTAGGACCAGGGTTTGAAATCATTCAGTCTACTCCCAAAATGCCCTCATTGTCTATACACTAGAGCTAACACACACAGGATCACTGTGGAAGCGGTATGGTGATCCGTCATCATCCCAGGCTCGGTGCCAGAGGATTTATATGCCAATCCTCTCAACAAGTCCACAAGGCAGGTGTTGTCACTATGCACACCTTAGAGAAGTTGAAACTGAGGCTTGGAGATGACAAGCAACTAGACTATGTCAATGACTAAATGCAGACAGGATTCAAACCCAGTTCTGGAGATAGGATTGAATGGATTGGAGGTCAGCTGAGCATGAGTTCTTACTTTAGGTTCATGGGTCTCAACTGATGAGCTTTAGGAGCTCCGTGAACACCATGAAATTGTTTGCAGTTGTATGTGTGCACTTTGGGGAAGCAAGAGAAGATCTATAGCTTTCGGTACACTCTCAAAGGAGTCTGATCACAAAAATGTTAAGAACCCTAACAAAGCACAATGCCTGGCACTGAGCTCGGGAGTGAAGAAATGCATGAATGTTTCTCCAGGCTCTAGGAGACACACATCTATCTGTACTTATTGAGATGGTGAAAGGTATCCTGGGACCTGAGCCCAACCCACCCCCAGACCCTTTCTCCCAGTGCCAGAGGCCACAGCCAGTAGCTGTGAGTAAACTTCAAAGAGATGCTTCCCCCACTTTTCCCCCACTTTCTCCCACCTCCACCTCCTACCAATGACTAGGCAGAGGCGGGAATTGTGCAACTCAAAAAATGAAATTTTATTGATTGCCAGCAGGGGGCAAGGGTGAATGAAGCAGGGTCTTAAGTGAAGCGCTTGTAGGGTGGAAGAAGGGGTCCCCCAGAGAGATCTCTGCCTCCTAGGCCTGAGCAATGTTGTCCAGCTTTAGTTCTTGGAGCGAAGGACCTGCTCGTGGGTGGACACCACCTTGCCATCGTGCACATCCACGACCTTGGTGCGGATCTGACGGCTGGTGGAGGAGGTTCCTGGAGAAAAGGGCAGAGAAGGAGTTACCAAAGCTGGACAGGCAATGGGGAAATCAGGAGTGGGGAAACCAAAGAGATGAGGAATCTGTCTCCCTGCCCTCTACCCTGATTGTCACTTCACTCAACTCCGTTGCCCAAGCACTGATACCATCAACAAATTTCTTTCAAACTAAGGCTCCCTAAGGTCAGGGGCAGAGTCTGGTCAAACTGGAGCTCCCTAAGAAGTCAGCCCCTACTGGTCCTGTCCGAATGGACCGGTCTTGGCAGAGAGAACCGTGCAGAATCCTGTCTGTGGTGCTAGTCACCCTAGTCAAGGGGTCTGGTGCAGATGTTGGAGGAAGAAGAAAAGGGAAAAGTCTACCAATTGCTAACCAGAGATACTGTAGAAGAATGACTTCTTCTACCCCGGGCCATTTATAAATGGTACTGTATGAAGAAAGTCTAAGATCAACTAAGGCGTCCCAGATCAACTTCTTGGCCTGCTAAGGGTTAAGGGTGGTCCCCAAGCCCAGACATGATAAAGAGGAAGGTCTTACCATCTCTGTGAGACTGAGAGCCAGAGGAGAATGAAGAGGAGAGGCTGTGAAGACAAAAAGAGACAGGGTGGTTAGATATATGGGGAACACAAAAAAGAAAGCAATAGGGACAATGGGCTAAGGGGACCCCCACTCACTGGGCGTCCTCGCCCTCCAGCAGGCGGCGGTAGGTGGCGATCTCCTGTTCCAGGCGGGTCTTCACGTCCAGCAGGATCTTGTACTCCTGGCTCTGCTGCTCCATCTCACAGCGCAGCTGAGCCAGCTGCTCCTCCACACCGCCAATCATCTCCTGGATCTGGGCCAGCTGCATGCAGTAGCGGCCTTTGGTCTCCTCCAGGCTGTTCTCCAGGGATGCTTTCTACAAGGGAAGGAAAGAAGACCAGGAGTTAGTGAGGGTAATCAGTGCCTCCCTCCAGGTCCTGGGACAACCTCACATCTGGCAGGTCCCTACCATGCTGAGCTGGGATTGCAGCTCAATCTCTAGGTTCTGCATTGTGCGACGGAGCTCGGAGATCTCACTCTTGCCACTCTGCACCAGCTCACTGTTTGTGGCCACCTCGCGGTTCAGCTCCTCTGTCTGGAGAAAAAAGAGCACCATTTACAATGCGAGCCCCCAGAAAACAGGCCTCTTGGGTCCCTCCCCCCTGAAACGACGCCCACCTTGCTGAAGAACCATTCTTCCGCATCCTTGCGATTCTTCTCTGCAATCTTCTCATACTGATCGCGCATTTCATTCAGGATGCGACTGAGGTCCACACCAGGCGCCGCATCCATCTCCACGTTGACGTCCCCGCCCACCTGGCCTCTCAGGGACATCATTTCCTGCACAATCAGAGAAGAGTCCATTCAAGAGGTTCCCAATGACAAAAGATTGGCGCTTCCTAGTCAAAGGTGCTCCTGGTCCCATATTCTCACATCCACCTTTCCCCTCCCAGCTTATCTCTGAAGCCACCTTTCCCAATTTGCTCTCACCTCCTCATGGTTCTTCCTCAGGTAGGCCAGCTCTTCCTTCAGGGTCTCAATCTGCATCTCTAGGTCAGCTCTGGACAGGGTCAGCTCATCAAGCACCCTGCGCAGGCCATTGATGTCGGCCTCCACGCTCATGCGCAGGTTCAGCTCTGTCTCGTACCTGAAATGACCCGGGAGAAGAGAAATGAGACACCCGATTCTGGTCACGCTGAAGGCTTTGTTCTCTGCCCCCTGCAGTGTCTTCCCATAGCTGGCACTCAGTGGTGGTGGTTTGTGCAGAAGGTCACACACATGGCATGGTTGGACACAGTGCCCATTGACTGACCAAGCAGAACATTCCTGGGGATGCTGACAATAAGGTAAGTGATCATGCTGTCGAATGTGGATGACGGTGGTGATGTTTACAGCTTCAGACAAACAAGAGGGCACAGTGTCTCCAAACATGACTACCTCCTGCACTTCAGGGACAGATGCGAAAGTGGGGAGCACCCCCTCTAAAGCAGTGGTTCCTGAACCTGGCTGTGGATCAGAATTATCCAGATAGCCTTATAAAACAAATCAAATCAAAACTCCCAGGATGAAGCCCAAGAAGCTGGTATTTTTACAAGCTCCCTAGGGGAGTTCGTGCAACTCTCCTGGCATTTGTCAGCTGTTTGGAAACACTGCTCAAAAAGGCCCACCGTTGGAAGACTGGAAGTTCTGGTCACCACTGCAGACTCACTTGGTACGGAAGTCATCAGCAGCAAGACGGGCATTGTCAATCTGCAGAAGGACGTTGGCATTGTCCACAGTGGCTGTGAGGATCTGCAGAATGGAAGCGCACAGATCATTCACCAAACAAACCTCTCTAATTAAAGACCTCCTGCCTGAGTCCCGGCCTCCCCACAGACGCCCAAGCCTTCACCTCGGCTGCCTTAAGGATAAGCCCAAGGGATCTAGCTTTGACCCAGGACTTGACTAATGTGTGCTGGGAAGAAGGGTAGAAAAAGTTCTGCCACTGACTCGCTGTGACACCTGAGCCAGCTCTCCAGACCTCAAGTCCCCCACTTGATGGAGAGAGGCGTGATCTAAAGACTCACTGGGTCCCTTTCCTCTTCTGAATCTTCTTCTCTCTACAGAAGCCCATCCTTTGCAGAACACATATCCTTTTGTAATCCCTCAGGGCACTGGGCCTCTGGTGGGGCTTTGTAGGAGATGAGACTCAACTTGGATGGAGGATTAGAAAGGAAGAAGTGGGGGAAGGATAGATTGACCCCTGAGCTTGGCTGGCGTTCCTTCCCTCTTCATCTCATTTCCGTAATTCATGGGAGGCAGCAGAATCAAGCAAAGGAAGTGGGGGATCCAGAAAGAGAGCTCTGGATCATATTGGAGGCAGGGAGAAGGAGCTGGAGTCAGATGCCACAAGCCCACCCAGGTTCCCTCCTGTGCAGGGAACATAAGGTGAACATTTACCAACGGTCTCTGTTGATTTTCCGCGGCTACCTGGCTGCAGGGAAGGTGCCAAGGCTCATGGGCGGCGTCCCCACAGCCCAGACTAATGAGCTAATGAGCGGTTTGGGTGTCTAGCCTGGTCCCGTTAGAGCCTCGCTCCGCCCCTGTGCTACAGAACAGGTAGCACTCCGTCCTGTACTGGAAGGTGTGGGCTCAAGGTTCTAGGCTCGACTCTGCCCTACTTTGCTGTGTGACCTTGGGCAGGTCACAGCACCCCTCAAATCAGCAACTTCCGCCTCTGTAAAATCTAAAGGCTGAAGTCTCACTAATGTGAGACGCTGAGGACATGGAGCCCAGAAGGCTAGGGACAAGGCTGAGGAGAAGAGCACATCTTCCAACCAACTGTCCTGTGAGGGAAGCCCCAGGGCCTCAGAAGGAGAGATCTGGGACCAGAATCCATCCTCCTCAGAATCTTAAAGTACCAGTGGCCTAAGTCATCTATTGTTGCTAAAGTGAGGTGGCTGGGATGATGCCTCCTGCTGCCCAGTCCACAAACCTTATTCCTCAGTTCATCGATGGTCTTGAAGTAGGGGCTGTAGTCTTTGGCTTCAGTGGGCCTCTGTCTCTGGTACCAGTCACGGATCTTCACCTCCAGGTCGGTGTTGGCCTCCTCCAGGGCACGCACCTTGTCCAGGTAGGATGCCAGGCGGTCATTGAGGTTCTGCATGGTCACTTTCTCACTGCCCACCAGAAGCCCATCACCACCACCAAAGCCACTACCTATGCCACCACCAAAGCCACCTCCAAAGCCGGCACCAAGGCCACCACCATATCCTCCACCAAAGCCACTACCCAGGGCCCCACCATAGCTGCTGCTGCTGCTGAAGCCACCACCATAGCCGCCCCCCATCCCGCAGGCTCCCCCAGAGGAGAAGCGGGAGGAGGAGACCGACATGCCCCCATAGGCACTGGGAGCTCGGCAGGAGCCAGCACTGAGGACAGAGGAGAGGCGGCTGGAGCCACCGCCGATGCCGCAAGAGCCCTTCATGGAGCTGGAGGAGGTGAACTGGCGGCTGCAGGTGGTCATGGTGCCGAGAAGGAGGTGAATCAGTGAGCAGGCAAGTTGGCAGAGAGACGAGAAAGGTGCTCAGGTACGTTGTAAAAGGATGTGAGTGCTTTATACTCCTGACTAGGGGGCGGGCCTGTCGTTTTCCATTCCCCTTGGCTTTCATCACCTATGGGCAGCGCCCACTCCCAGCCAGATCCCTCCTCTCCTCTGTCTCATCATGTCTGTCATATTTTACTGTAAACTCACTTGTTTGGGGCACTTTTGGCTTTCTTGTCCGCCAGGCATGATTCACACAGGGAGGCGTGGGCCTGCAGGCTACACTTTCCCATTGTCCCCCAAAACTGGGCTCAGAGGCCTCATCTGGGCTTATCCAGGGTGACAGAAAGCAAAGTCTCTCAGCATGGGAAGCCTGGTGACCTGCTGCTACCTTGTTAATTGAATGGGCCTTTAACAGCCCCTTAGATGCTAGAGGAAGCCCAAGGCCCCAAGCGACTGACACCTAGCTGGAGGAGCAGCAGTATGTCCCCTCCTCTGTGGTACCATCTATAAGACAAGATAGTCTTAAGAGTCTCCCAGGTCTGATCTGTTGAGCCTGATACATCTCTGAGACATCCCCAGGCAGCCTATTGGCTCAAAAAACCCACCCAACATCCCCAAGAAAGGGAAAGCCAGGTGGCTTCATCTCCACCCCAGGGAACTGGCCACACTGTTCCCAGAGACTCCAGCACTAGCAGCTTTATTTGTCCACGGTCATGTGACCTCCCAGGCACAGCCAGAAACAGAAGAAAAGAACATTTAGTCTTGAGCCCAATGGTCCTGGTTCTGGCATGCACACCTGCACAACCCACGGCCCGAAATGTCACCCACTAAGAGCCCCACTTTGCTCATCTGTAAAGAGGGACTGAGCGCCATCTGCGCTACAGAATCAACCCCAAGAACTTAAGGTGGCAACGTCTTTGGAAGGGTTTGTAAACCAAGTATGGCTCAAAGGTAAGTTAGCACTGCCTTAGCCCCTTCGTGGCTATTTCCAGCTCCCAGTGTCTTCTCGGATCCCCAGCATTGGTGGAGGATTGCCTCAAGTCCCCTTGCTTGAGTCCTAGTGGGATTGGCCCCAGGAACTGTGGGGCAAGGACAATAGGGCACCTGGGAATGGAGCAGACAGTGTTGAGGGTGCCCACATGTGGCCAGAGTGGACACAATGTCCTTGCTTCTTGAAGTCCCAAGGATCAAGGGACATTTCCAGGCCTCCATTGTTCCTGCCATGAGGGCTTGTCTATCAGAGCCTCAGCCCTTCCACAAGTGTTCCTTAGTAACTGTGGTTGTAGTTGATGTCTAATTCATGGAGACCTTCTAACAACAGACGAGGCCTGCCTAGTCCTGCACAGTCCTCGGGATCATTGGTCTGTTTGAGGTCACTGTTGCCACTCCTGTGTCAATCCTCAAAACCAAGATGTTTGCTCTAGCCTGCAGTAAGCTCTCTCCCAGACAACCTCCAGAGGAATCCACTTCAAGCCCCCACCCAAGCCACCTGCCAATCCCCCAGCTCCACAGACCCTGCCAGGCATGTCAGGAGGAATGTGGTCGTGTCTGAGATTGCCTGACACATCCTATCTCCCCAGACAGGCCCCAACAGCCCCCGCTGGAGGCTCCAACGCTCTTCCTAGGCTCAACTGCTCCCAGAAAGGAAACAAGGCCTCCCCCTGCCCTACCCCACGCCACCTCTACCACCACCAACACAGAAGTCAGGTAGGCCCTCCCCCTACAGAAGCCCCCACCCCTCCACCAGGCTTAGGAGCTCAGAAGACAATGCTGAGACAGATGGTTGGTCTGTGGGTTTTCAAATCTGCTATGCTGAGGGCTTTCAAGGATGTGAGTAAACCAGGGCCCCACCCCACTCCACCCGCCACTGACAGACTCGCTTAATCTCCTTCCAGAGAATGGTCCCCCACCCCCACCCCCACCCTAGGCCCAGCCCTGCAATTTCCCCAGTAAAGGTAGCAGAGATTTTGGCTGAAGGACAGATCTTTTGTTGGAAGGTATGTTTCTATTGGCTATGGGTGGGGTGTTCAGTAGAGAAAAATGTAGCATCCAGGGGGGTACAGGGAGCAGAATGGGGTACAGAGCCCAATGTGGGCTCCCTCCATGTCCCCCATCACCCTATCTCCTTCCATTGCAGAGGACCAATAAAAGACACACACATACACACACACACACACACACACACACACACACTAGAGCACAGGACACAAGGTAAGCTCTTCTTCCCACTTCGTTTGGTTCAATGGAACCCAAAAGAAGTTCCATCCTCCAGCTCCTCCAAGGGGAATCTACAAGACAAAGACTGATGGGAAACCAAAGATAGATCAACCCATGCACACAACCTAAGAAGAGGCCTTTGCTGGCCTTCCCACTCCCAGGGACTCTAGGAGACCAGCATGGAACACAAGTTCAACCTTCTCCCCAACCCTGGCACAGATTGTGGGCCCAGCTTCCTTCCCTTCTGTACACACAGAACCCAGTGATGAAGGACCTGCACACAGCCAGCCCATGCAGGCAGGGTGAGGGGATACGAGGGACACCACACTCCCATCCCCTCCCTAGTGCTTAGAGGGCCTGGTGCCCATGACATTATGGGGAAATACAGCTTTTGGAGTGTCAGGGGCTAACGGGCAGAGACGGGCTGGAACAGAAACATGTCAGATAGTCAGCTCTGTCTACAGGAGCTGGAGTACCCCGCCTGACTTCTGGACTCCTGGTAGACTTTGTGTGGGCATCATTACCTGGCTCCCCTTCATGCCTACCCAAAAAGGAGGTGGGTAAAGGAGGAGCCCCGGGTGGTGCCTCCTGCGCTCATTGAGTCTCCCTGTACTAGCCCGTAGGGGGAAAGTGAGGGACAGATGCCAATCCAAACAGGTGAAGCAGAGCCAGGCAGCCCCCACAGAGCCTGCATTGTGTGCTGAGGACTTGGCTGAGCACTAGGAGATGAGATCCTAAGGAAAGAGGAGATCTTGGGAGAGTCCAGGCTGACGGGAGGGTACGGGGGTAGCAGAGTCTAATGGCAGAGGCTGCATTTGCTTGGAAGGAGAGATCACACACATCAAAGTTACATAAGATCCAAACAAATATGAGAAAAATGTAGACTAAACGTTGGATTGCCATAACAAAGTATCACAGACTTGGTGACTTAAAACAACCGAAACATCTGAAATCAAGGTGTCCACAAAGCCAACCTTTCTCCAAAATCTCTAAGGGAAGAGAGGGTTCTTCCTTGGCTCTTCCATCATCTGGTGGTCTCGAGGGTTCCTTGGCTTGTGCCATCGTAACTCTAATCTCTCTGCCTCCTTCTCGTGGCCATCTTCCCTGAGCGTCTCTGTGCGTCCTTTTCAGTCATAATGACACTCCCATTGGATCTAAGGCCCAGCCTAGTCTAGTATTGTTGTTGTTATTGTTAAGTGCCGTGGAGTCGGCGCCAACCCATAGCGACCTTATACAGGGTTTCCAAGGAGAGACTGGTGAGTTTGAACCTTGTAGTCCATCCAGTTCATTGTCCCACAGACCACACCAGGACTCTTAATCTAGTGTGGCCTCATCTCAACCCTTATCTTCATTATATCTGCAAAGAGCCTATTTCCAAATAAGGTCACATTCTGAGGTTCCAGCTGGACATGAATTCAAAGATGTCACTTTGATGACTAAGGCGCGCCTGACCCAAGCCATGGTATTTTCAGTCACCTCATACGTACGCGAAAGCTGGACAGTGAAAAAATGAAGAGCAAAGAAGTGCTAACGCATTCCAATGGTGGTGTTGGAAAAGAATTGAATATGTACTATGAACTGCCAAGAACAAACAAATCAGTCTTGGGAAAAGTTACAGCAAAAGTACTCCTTAGGAGCAGCGGAGATTAGATGTCATCAGAGGGGGACCAGTTGTTGGAGAAGGACATCGTGCTGGGTAAAGTAGAGGATGAATAAGAAAGAGGGAGATGGTTTGACAATGAGCTCAAACCTACCAATGACTGTGAGGTTGGCACAGGGACGGGCAGCGTTTCTTTCTGTTGTGCGTAGGGTCGCTAAGAATCCCAGCTGACTCCATGGCAACAACAATTCAGCCCTCAGTAACCACACAGCAGAGGCCTATCAGGTGCAGAGGTGATTTGAGGAACTTAGTGAAGACATTGTTATGACAAAATGTGGGCGTGCCAACCTGCAAGACTTCTGGGAGTAACTTTATAAGGGTGTGGCACTGTGGGTTAATGCTCTGGGCTGCAAGGTTGGTTTGAATCACAAGGTCGGCGGTTCAAGCTTACCAGCTGCTCCTTGGAAACCCTATACAAGGTCGCTATGGGTCGGAAACGACTTGACGGCACTTAACAACAACAACAACATAAGGGTGCTGGGGAATGGGAGGCAGGAGACACAGAATTTAGGTGTCTGGTCAATAGTTCCCCACTGAATTGTTCTGGCTCTTTCACAAATGCGAACCTGGTCTGGGAGACAGCTCCTGTTTCTTAACTTATTACTTTGAAATAAATTGAGACTTTTTTCCAAAGCTGTACAGAGAGTTCATGTGTACCAGTCACCCAAGTTCCCCTGATAGTAACATATTGCATATGCCATTTTACACATATCAAAACCAAGATATCAGCTCTGATATCATTCTATTAACTCAACTACGAACTTGATCTGAGTTTCACCGGCTTTCCGCGAATGTGTGTTCTCTGCTGCAGAGCTCCATCCAGGATATCCCGCTGCATTTAGTTGTGGAGTCTCTATCTTCTCCATTCTGCGATGCTCCTTAGCTGCTCCTTATCTCCCAGGAGCTTGTCACTTCTGACTACTATTACCAATTACCATGGAATCCATTCCTACTCATGGTGACCCCATGTGTGCCAGAGTAAAGCTATGCTCCCAAGGATTTTCAGTGGCTGATTTTTTTTTTTCAGAAGTAGATAACCAGGTCTTTCTTCCAAGGTGCCTTTGGATAGACTCCAACTGCCAACCTTTTGGTAGCATCCTAG